CTGTAAAGTTACCATTTTGGAGATTTGAGGTTCTATATATATATATAACATCGTTCAGGCATAACATTATGACCACCTCGTTTCTACACTCATTGTCCATTTTATCAGCTCCACTTACTGTATAGGTGCACTTTGTAGTTCTACAGTTACAGACTGTAGTCCATCTGTTTCTCTGTATACTTTGTTAGCCCCCTTTTACCCTGTTCTTCAGTGTCTGATCCACTCAGACCAGCACAACACACACTAACACACCACCACCATGTCAGTGTTACTGCAGTGCTGAGAATGATCCACCACCCAAATAGTACCTGCTCTGTGAGGGTCCATGGGGGTCCTGACCACTGAAGAACAGGGTAAAAGGGGGCTAACAAAGTATCAGAGAAACAGATGGACTACAGTCTGTAACTGTAGAACTACAAAGTGCACCTATATAGTAAGTGGAGCTGATAAAATGGACAATGAGTGTAGAAACAAGGAAGTGGTCCTAATGTTCTGCCTGATTGGTGTATGTATGTGTGTGTGTAATATATAAGAATTTGCGTTGAATTTTAAAACACACACTGTTTTCTGGCTTTGGGGAAATAATGGCAAAAATTAGCAGAAACTCCATCACAAAAGTTTCTCATCTATGTTTACATTCAGTAATATTGGGAACGCAGCCCTGGTGTCCTTACATGTGTCATTGTTGTCAGAGGAGACTGTATGTGCAACTTACCTGTTTTATCCACAATATGAGAGAATTGTAATTTTAGATTGGGTTTGCAGACTCTGTCCAGCTCGTCTCTCTCCTGCTGCATTTCAGGCCTGTCATTCCATCTCTTTGCAGTTTCCAATCCAAACTCAGTGAAGCCTACAAACCTCCCCTTGGTGCTATTAAACTGCACATATTTAACCTTGTTAAAATAATATGTATCTATGTATTCCGCATCAGTCAGCTCTGCTGAACTGGCGATGCATTCTTTTATCATGGCATAAAAATATCCATCTGTTGATGAAGATAGAAAATAGTTTAGTCCCAACAACAATAATAAGACAGCCAAATAAATACGCATACACTATTAACTGGTAAGCAAATAATAAGCCAAAACCCAGTTTAAACAGATTTAGTGTAACCTTTTGTCGAGGATTACACTTTTAATTAACTTTGGACAATTCAGGAATTTTAATAAATGTATTACTTCGCATATAGTACAATATACAACCTGTATATTGCATTCAAACATAAAATAATTGTAAACATACCTGTCCTTATAGTCAGAGTCAGTAGGAGTAGCAGCTGCAGACTCAGCAGCATTTTGTCTCTGCATGCCACAACAACTGAGAGAGTTTCAGAGAGTGAGTTCCAGTTCATACAGACGCTTCAGTTCACTGACCAATCAGAATCAGCTACACCACTTCATCGTATGTTGCTAAGCAGTAAAGAATGCAGTTCTCTCATGTGCTGAGCTACCCAAAAATGGGCAAACAGTAAAAGCCAAACAGGTATAAAGTATCCAGAGATACTCCAAAAACATGTTACTTGACAGTGGCCAAAGTTTCACTTGAATTTTGTTTTGGGGCTCTCAAACTTACCTGCTACTAAATATTTTTTCACTGCCTAAAATATATTAGAATTAATTTCTTGAGGAAAGACAGACAGTTTAGACCTGCTTGGCGACACTTAATAATGCAGGAGCAAAAAACTGGCCTAATAAAGGATCTTTTATTTCTCAAGTGCTGCGACAAAAACCTTGAGAATTATGACCTGAACAATCATGGAAACCAAAATAAATATTAGAAAGGAGAAAATAAAGGTGTTTTTTTGTTTATGGCTTTGGCTCAAACTTCTGCCCAGCGTCCGAGAGGTGAGACCCAGTCAAGATCATGACCGAATAAAAAGTTTTTCCAGAATGTAAAGAAAGAGAAAGAGGTGTGTTCAATAAAATTCAGTTTCAATTCAATTTTACATTCTAAATTTTGGAGGCAAATGAAGTAAGTTAGAGATCTGTCTGTCCATTAATCTTATCATTAGCCTGTTTGTGTTCATTAACACTGAATGAGGAGAGCACAGTGGCCTATTTTTGCCTTATTATCTAATCTTATTTCGAATGTGCAGGAAAAAGCATATTTTATAAGCATATTTTTCCTATTTGAATACATCGTAACATATAAACCAACAAAAAATGTCACTATTTAGATACAAAGAGCTCTAGTCTGTGTGAAAATAACACCTTTTCAAGGTTTTTTTATGACTGTTTTTCTTTTACAGCTAAGTTGAAAGATTTCAATTTATTCCAAGTAAAATTTTGTAATAATAAAAAAAATCCTGCTGTTCCATGTTTTCATGTCACTATCGGAACACAGAGTTTTCTTCTGTAGGCGGAGCCTCATTTTGGCCACGCCCCTGCACTTTGTAGCAGGAAGTGTGGCTGCATCCCTGTCCCTCATTGCCACATGGTGAGCAGTTAGAACCCATTGTTTTGAAGTAAATGTGACCCAAAGTCTGAAACTCATGTCTGGAAAATGTCTGGAACTTTAAGAATTGTCTGTACCGAAACACGTTTTCTGCATATAAGTAGACTTTTTAATGTTTTAATAAAATATTATGAAGTCTGTACAACTGTTCAAAGCTATGTTTGCTAAATTGTCATTACCAAAACACTTGCTAAAGTTTGGTAGAGTTATTATTTCTTTGTAAGTGATGTTTATTTAATTATGATGTTTTAATCATCAATGTTTAATAATTTATCTCACTAAAGCAAAAATTAAGGTATAGAGTCACTCAAATAGGGAAGTCCGGAGAGACAATGAGGTAGTTATAAATTTCCGGATTGCTATCTTGAGATAACAAGTTAATTATCTTTTTATCTCAAGATAACAAAATTGTTATCTTGAAATAACGAGTTAGTGGTCTTGTTACGTTCAAGATAACTAACTTTATGTTCTAATTGTGATCAAGATATAAGTTGATAAGCTGATTATCTTGTTTTCTTGAGATAACAAAGTTATCTTGAGATCACAAGATAATTAAATTGTTCTCAAGATAACAATCTAGAAAATTTTAGCAATAGCACATGGCCTGTCCAGACTTCCATACTCAAAGCAATCGTAAGTGAATGTAATGGAAGAACTGCTTGGTTAACATGACGATTAACAGCAGATTACTTTGAAAGGAATTAAGGGGTTTGAAAAACAGTAACAGCTGACACATAAGCAAAACACTAATTCCTCTAATAAAGGTGATATTAATGTAATCCTGCATTAGTCATTCTTGTACGTGTGGGTCCACTGCCAATAATGTATATCTAAAAAAAGAAAAAGAAAATTCATGAAATTGGATTTGTTTTTTACACTGGTTCATACTGGTTTATCTGGTCATACCAGCATCCAAAACACAATATATGGCGTTTTATTGATGAACAGTTAAGTTGATCTATGCTGGCTTTTCTAGCAGGGAAAAGACTGGGAATAAACTTTATGGCATGCTAATGTTCGCGAAGCTAGTCTCTAATCACAACCAGATAAATGCAGTATATAATTTAGAGTTTTCTTAAAACAATAAATCATCTATATTTATTTATATTTATTGGTTTCACTGAGTAGTAAGTAGTAAAACATTACTATTTTATGGATCTTAAGGATTCCTGCTAGCCGTGCTGCTGCCTGATGAGAAGCCGTTTAATCGGTGCTATGATGGGGAGCTGGGCTCCCTGAAAACTACCTGAAAAACTACCCAGTGGGAATAACCCGACAAAATGAGTCAACAACCCAGCAGCCAATAGAGCAAGACCAAATATGCAAACAGACGGATGGGATTAAAGACAAGAAAAGAGAGTCTTGGGATTTGTGTCGTACAGTGTCAGAGCCCAGCGGAAGTAAATATTCAAAATAAGATCTATTCTTGCTGTTACTTCTTCACAGCCACTGGTTTCTAACCCTGGTCCTGGAGCGCACATGTCGCTGTGTTCCCTGCTCTGCCACACCCGATACAACGATTCATCTCATTAACGAGCCCATCAGGAGTCGAAGTGACAGAGTTATATTTAAAGAGATTCCATTTTCTAGGTGTCTAAAGTTCAGTTCTCAGAGTTGGAGGTCCTCGCTTTGATAAACATTAATTCTACTAGATCAAAAACCAAACTGGCTTAATGTAACAAGACTTTAGTCCAGGTCATTGTGGACCATTAATATTGGCCCATTTATAAGGACAAAGTGAACAGGGCAGTTTTTAAATATTTCAAACTATGAGATGAAAACGTGGCTCTTAACAAAGACAGTGAACAGAATGAGAATGAATCCCTATGATCACCTTTAACATGTACATTTATTACACCACTATTTACAGAAGAGACAAAAGAAATATCTCCAAAAATGCACTATATGGACAAAAGTATTGGGACGCCTACATTACATTACACTTACAGGAGCTTTTATACCATCCCATTCTAAATCCATGGGCATTAATGAGGCAGATCTAGCAGGACAGAAACTGGCTTGTGGCAGAGGTGGCATCCTATGACAGTGCCATGTTTAAAGTCACTGAGCTCTTCAGTACGACTCATTTCTACTGCCAGTGTCTGTCTATTGAGACTGCAAGGCTATGTGCTTAATTGTATTTACGTGTTGGAAATGGGTGTGGCTGAAACACCTGAACTCAATAATTAGGAGGTTTGTCCCAATACTTTTGTCCATAAACTGTATCTACTGGATGTTACAGTTGAACTAGGGTTAAACTACATATTTAAATCATGAAAACTGCCTATGCATGCAAATCAGTGTTGAATGTTCTAGGAAATGTCAAGAATCTTTCTGCACATTTATTTATTTCTGCCTTAGGAACTTTTTTATCTTCTATTCCACTCAAACCAGTCTAGAGTCCTTGAGGTGAGAAATGGAAGAGTACCAAACATCCAAATTATTGTAAAAGAGAGGTGATTTCGTTTGGCTTTAGTAAACCATACAATCGACTGCATTTCGTTGATTGATCCATATCAAATTAAAAACAACAATGAAAAGACATTTTTGATCTTTAATTGAGACAGATTTCTGATTTTTGTTTGTCATTTACATTTTGCTTTGCAAAAAAACAATTTGGTCAAATTTACACTTGAGAGATTCTCTCTAATCATCAGCTTGAAAATAACTGACAGTCAACAAGCAGATCACAAAACTGATGCAGTTGGTTTACACATGTATTCCGGTATATTTATGCTACTAAACATCCACAAATATAGTATAACAGATTGTAAGAATGTGAATAAGCAAAAAAAAACAAAACATGTAGTTTTCTGCAGAGAGACTTTCAGGGCTGCCCAGAAGGCCTAATGATTTCTAGCAAGCAAAATGTACATGGCTGTGATTTTAGTTCATTTTAATTGTATTATTATAACTCCTTTTGTAGTATTGTACAATTGTCATATTGCAGCTTTAGTTCGAAACAAAAGTATTCCTATCTTGAAAAAACACCCAGAAGAAAGTTGTCCAAATCAGTATTATTTTCTCTGTGGTATAGGTAGATAAAGCCAAGCAAGCTCTCCCATTGGTTAGGACTTGAGGAGCTGGACTGAAGGCCTTACACGTTAAATTACTACCTATATAATTAGCATGGGAAAGACTGTGGATTCAACCAACCATGTTTTCATTTATGGGTGGGAAAATTTTGTGAGAAAAATGTCACTGTAGACCTTCTGGAAGTTTTAGACCCACCACTGACCATTTTTGTCATTTTTCAGTTTTTGACATAATTTGAAACTACCTGTCGGCCTTTACATTGTTTGTAAATTTCATGATGAATGGACTAAAAGAAACAAGCCAAAATGGCTTGGAAAAACGTCTGGTTCCATTGACTTACATGAAAAGTAAAACAGGTTTTTTCCTTCTCCTGTAAAGTTACCATTTTGGAGACACAATGTTTTCTTCTGACAGCAGCGATATGCGTCAGTCTAAGCAGGTTTGGGTTTAGTTGTTAGGGATGGAAAACAGCGGCGGCAGCCTGGACTCTTTAAAGAAAGAGTCACTGTAACACTGATACATACATATATACACATATATGTCTTTTACAAGCTTCAAAGGCCCATGTATAATCTAGAACAGTCAAAAAATATTAAGGTGTATTAGTATCAGCTTAGTGCTAACATATCATTAAAACCCCCACAGGGGGCTAGCAGAAATTAGCATTATTATAAAGGCAGGCTTTGATTTCATAGCTTTAATGGTGAAGGCCCAGCTCTAGTGGTTCGCCACTGCTTTGTTGTAAAGTTTACAGTCAGACTCTCAGTTGCAGTTGATTCCTTTGACGAGGAAGAAAGTTCCAACAGCGACTCCCAGCAGTCCTGCAGCCAGACCCACTCCACAGAACACAGTCGGACCCACACTGGGCTGAGTGACCTGCACATCTGTACAACAAACACACATAAAAATAAAAGATTGTATATTCTTCATAGTTTATAGGTCACATTTAAAGGTTTTGTTAGGAGCTCTTGAAATAATGTTAAGTTGATCTGAAAAGGTGATTTGGCATTCACTGTTACACTCATGGAGCCATTAAAAAAGGGGGAATTCCTCTAATTTTGTACAAACAAACCTGCATAATTCAATGTTTGAGATGTAAACAGTCGTTCAGAGTGGTTTGGTGTGAAATGGTTCAGATTTCTTTACAGTGGTGGTGATAGGAACCAGGGGTCGCCATGACTACAACACAAATATAGACATTTTATTTACTATCCAGAACCACCAGTGAGCCTACATGTGTTTTTTGAGCTTTATATGGAATGTTGATGGTAAAATAGTGAAAAAAATGTTTTCTTTAGGGACTATTTTGTCACAACGCACTGCATGTACCCCTCCACCATGACAGACTTCGAAGATGTGTTTTAGCCCAAAACTCTCAAAACTAATGTAAAACAGTGTCTCAGACTTCAGACAGTGTATTCATAACTATTTCACGTAAACTTTCTGTGAGGGAGCTTTTAGAGGTGGACGTCTGGTTCCTATCAGTGCCACTGTGAACAATTCTGACTCTGTAAGTTTCTCCAGAACAGAGCATTTCACTCCAAACCACTCTGAATTACTTTATTTACACTTAACCATTTAAGTCTGTGAAACATCTGTGAAATTCCCCTTTAATAACATCCATTAACCCCTTAAATGGCTGATAATCACCACAGGTTCACAGGCTTCCCTTCCTCCTTCTATAACTAATGAATAAGTCAGTTTGCATTACTTTCCATGTGATGATTGAATTATAGGCCTTAGGATGTAATAAGGCCCTGTTTTTAATGAATTAACTGAAAAACAACCCCATAAGCAGGTGTAAATCTCACCCCATGTTTTGGTCAGTCTTCTGTCCAGGGCTGTGTGGTCCACAGTGCAGGTGTAGATGTCGCCCTCCTCTGGTATGAAGCTCAGAGTGGAGACTGCTTTGTAGGTTCCATCACTGTTTATGTAATATCTGCTGAGAGAAGCTCCATCTGTAATGTTTACATTGTTCTTGGTCCATGAAACCCCAACATGGGGTGGGTAGAATCCAGTGATGTAACAGACGAGGGTGTTATTAGAGCCCAGCTCCACATCGTTCTTGGAGTAGAGTGAGCTTTGGGGGGCATCTGGTGATAAATGGAATTCATGTTATTCATGTAAAATGTAAATACTGATTCAATGTTTATGGTTCTATTGTATGATTTGTAATTCTGTGGCAAAAGCACATATATCTGTAAAAAATGCTGTAAAACATTCTGTATAAAACTGATAGTTCTGGTTCTGAAATTTGATTGGCAGAGTGGTGGTTCAAGACACAAAATGCTTGATATACACAAACATGACAGATTACCAATAAATAAATAAGACATTAAAAATGCATTGTCATGTTTGATCAAAACCTCGTACATCATAACTTTGCAGGAGAAGGAAAAAAACAAACATTCTTAACTTGGAAGTTAAATAAGATTCTTTTCCAAGTGCTTTTGAGCCATTTCTATTGGTCCATTCATCACAATGTAAAAAGGTAACTGCTGTTTTTAAATTCTGCAACTAAGTATAAAATGACAAAAGTGGAAATGCAAGATTTTTGCACAGCAGTGACGATTTGCAGGTTATGTCAGCCTAGTACACTAAAACAGATGGTTCTTCAAAGGTTCTTTGGTGAGAAAATGGTTCCATATAGAACCATGAACACTCAAAGTACCATTTGCATGATTAAAGGGATCTTTGCATTATGAAAATGTTCTTTCAGATTGACAGAAAATGTCTATAAATGTGCTATAGACAGTTCTATATAGAGCCTTTTTGAAAAGGGTTCTGTATAGCACCCCAAAAGAAAGAACCATGAACACTCGAAGAACCCTTTGCATGATTAAAGAGTTTTTTGCATGGTTAAATTGTTCAGATTGATGGAGGACGTGCTGTAGACGGTTCTATGTAGACCCCTTTTTGAACAGGGTTCTATATAGCACCAAAGAGGGTTCTCCTGTTGTTCCAAGCTTGACATTGTAGTAATAGCAGAACCCTTTTAGATGCCATATAAAACCCTTTTCAAAAAGGTTCTGAATAGAACTGTGTACAGCACATTCTGAATCTGAGAAACCATTGGGATTCAAAGAACCCTTTCATCATGGAAAGGATTCTTTGAGTGCTCATGGTTCTGTATAGAACCGTTTTCTTTACTAAAGAACCTTTGATGCACCATCTTTAGGAGTGTACTTCTAAAATGTTAGCATGAAATCCATAAGATGGTTTGTTCACTATCCATTTAAGTAATAAATAAAAGGTTCTTCTGTTAGGGAGCCGCGCTCCTTTTTTACAAAGGACTGTTTGCAAAATGATGACTGACACACCTCTCAGCCAATCAGAATCGTTTTGATACATTACTTCCTCCATCAAACTCAAACCTCTCACACCAAACCTGCAGTGAGAACGTCGGCGATAGTAAATTAAATACTGGGGGCATTTAATTCAAACACATCCTGGTCACCTGGAGGGCAGAGCTGTATTTTCATTCTTGAAGCTGAAACGTTTTGGATCAATCTATGTGGAATACTAAACTCAGAACTCAGAGTCAAAATTATGCTGGTTCCCACTCTTTTAAAGGTTCTTTCAAAGGGTTCTATATAGAACCATAAACTATAATAAAAGACCATTTTATGCTTAAAGAGTTCTTAGCATGGTGAAATTGTTCTTTAGATTGATAGAGAATGTGTTGTGTATGTTATACAGAACCTTTTTGAAAATGGTTCTATACAGCACTAAGCCTCACATCTACATAGACCCATTGTCTTTATTAAAGAACCACTGAAGAACCTTTTTTATTGAGTGTAAAGTAAGCTAAACTTTGCCTGGATTACAGTATTTACTAAAAACCATAGTAGCCCTACAGTTTGATATGTACACTCTTAAAGATGGTTCTTCAAGGGTTCTTTAGTAAAGAAAACGGTTCTGTATAGAACCATGGACACTCAAAGAACCCTTTGCATGATTAAAGGGTTCTTGGCATCCTGAAAACATTCTTCAGACTGACGGAGAATGTGTTGTAGATGGTTCCATATAGAACCTTGTTGACAACGGTTCTATATATCTCCCACTGTTACAGTGTCAAGCTCGTAACAATAGAAGAACCCTATGTAGAATCATGTATAGCCCATTCATGCACATTTTCCATCAGTCTGAAGAACTCTTTCATGATGCAAAGAACCCTTTGATCATGCAGAAGGTTCTTTAAGTGTTCATAGTTCTATATAGAACCATTTTCTTTACTAAAGAACCCTTAAACCTAATAGATGATCATTCGCTCTTCGTTGTTTATTTACCGTGAACACGTACGTATCTGTGCTGATGTGCTGATCATGTCTTACCTTTGGGTTCTGCTGGGTAATTGAATCTTTTTGCACAGAAGTCCAGGTTGTTTCGACAGACTTCCATGTCACCGAGACTCAGCTGATAGAATCCCACTGGATATAAGAACGGATCCGCGAAGTCCGGCAGCGTCATCACCCCCTCCCCCTTCGTGAAGTCAGCGTGGTACTTTTCTTCTCCATCAAGTCCGTACATGTATTCGCGGAAGGTATCAGAGCACAGGCTTACTGTAATGTCCTTGTGCACAACTGAGGAAGAAAGATGAATATATATGAATATTATAAAACATGCAGTCATTAGTGGTTGTTGTACAGTACACTTCTCAGGAAACTCTCACACAGTATACAGGTACAGGGAGATCCAGGACCCAGATCCAAAAGAGAAAACAAGTGAACGATAAAACAAAAATACTGACGCACTTTCAGAGGCAGAGGAGAAACAAATGTGTCTGGCAGACGTACATAAAAATTTTGACTTAGTGTCTCGAAATGTTTATTTTCCTCAGGACTTTGACTGATCAAAATAATGATTTCTCAAACTGTTGAAGGATTATGGAAAATAGTTATTTATCTTATTGAAATATCTTGAAATAATGGCTAATTTTTTTCAAAAATTGGCTTAATATGCTGAAATAATAGTTAACAGTTTTTAAAAAAGTATTGACTTAACATCTTGAAATAAACAAAGTAAATGAAATCATTATTTCAGAATAATAAGTCATTATTACCAGATAATATGTCATTATTTTAGTTGTACTACATACTGGTGATTATATGCATACATACATACATACATACATACATACATACATACATACATACATCATCTAAACCACTTATCCTTCTGGGTCGCGGTGGGGTGCTGGAGCCTATCCCAGCTGTCATTGGGCAGAAGGCAGGATACACCCTGGACAGGTCGCCAGTCCATCGCAGGGCGGTGATTTTATATATATATATATATATATATATATATATAAAATCAAAATAAAGATATTATCACATGCTTCTTAAACACACACTGGCATTCATTTATTTATTCATTTATTTAATTATGTTCATAATTTCTTTATTTTATTTATTTTAAATAATTATTTCAGGAGAATAAGTCACTTTATGAAATACTGTCATTAATTTGACCTTGTAAGTCAAGAAGATTACAAGAAAATGTAATTATGTCAGCATAGTAATTCAAATTTTTTAGACAAAAATCAATATTTTGAAATACTAAGTCAATCTTTTTGAGAAGTAAGTTATTATTCCAACACAACGAGTCAACTCTTTGGCAGGAACGACCTACCATACAAAACACCAGTGATATATTGGGTTGTCAGATTTCAGCCATGGCAAATGTAATCTACAAATGGAGTGCATTTAGAGTGAGGTCAAAAACAAACGGTCTGGTGCAAAACTGGACACCAGGCAACAGCAGTGAGAATCCACTGCATCCACTTACAGCTCCTACAGAACTAACACTGGAATATTCACTCTTACTCACTTTTAGCCTCTGTGTAGAGAAGAGCTGCACAGACGAGAATCAAACACAGCTTCATCTTGATCAGCGTAGAGGAAACAAACTCATACATGGGTGAGAGCCGACTGACTACAGTCTCTCTGTTCCTCTCTCTCTCTCTCTCTCTCTCTCTCTCTCTCTGTTCCTCTCTTTCTAACTGAGACCCCTCAGTAAAACAGCCAATAGAATCATTACTTTCACTCTGGCACTGCAGTATCTTGGTAAGTTTGATTTTCAGCTTCCAATTAGAGTCTCAGGCCCGCTGCCAGCTCTGATCAGCAGTGTTTGTATCTGCCTGCTGGTGCAGAGTCTGAAATATTAACTGAGAAATTAATTAATAAGTGTAGGCTGTGTCGTAAACTCTAAAAAACTGTAAAAAAAATCAGATATCATTTTACATGATACTGAGAGGAGGGATCTCCAACTACCTGCCCCAGACAGATTCATTCGGCTCATCACACTTGTACATTTAATTCATTAATCAGGTCTTCAAATAATTCTTCTTGTTTGGTTTTTCTTTTTTGTGGTGGGTACATCAGCTTCACTGTGAGCTGCTCACCCAACATTAGCTTTATAAAATCAGCCTAGACTGATGAAAACAATGTTAAAAGCAAAAATAGAGAGATGTGTACAAGAGGAACACCAATAGCGTTGCCAGGTACAGTAAACATCTCCAGCTCAAAGTGTGCTTAAAACCTGGATAAAATTCTTAAGCATTCTGAAGAAAATTAGATGTAAATCCATTCATCTGGCCTGGACGTGTTCATTTGTTGGAAAAAAAGAACAATATAAATAATTCATTGTGACAATATATATGAATCTGGCAACTCACAAAATGAAACAAAGTAAACCTGAAGCAGCATTAGTGCTGCACACTGAGTGGACATGGCTGCAATTTAATGTAGCCATTATTCTAGTTTAGACTTATAGACTTAGACTTATTTGCCATTGTAGATTCATTCATGATGGTAGCTACAGAGTGAGAATGCAGATTAAATATCAATTTTAATATATAATGTATTTATACTACTACTACTACTATATAATAATGACAATAATAATAATAATAATAATAATAATAATAATAATAATATGATGTTATTATTAATAATAATTGTAGTAGTTGTTTTTTTTTTGTGACAGAAAAGTTGGATATCGCCCTCATGTGGTTATATTTATAAAGGCAGTGTCTATTTACACCAAGTGAAAATAGTACTAAAAATACTGATCACACAGCCTGGCTATTTGCACTAACTCTGCCTGGTAAATCACATGACTATAGATGTGTTGGGCAATATCTACTGTAAGTTTCATACGATCCATGAAACAAACAAGGCAGCATTAGGAGAAGCTGTGTTCAGGGGAGAATGAGACAGTGAGGTTACTCAGTATTAAACAGAACATAAGTGAGTGCAATTTTCCATTCAATCTGCATAAGTATTAAATAATAAATAAATAAATAAATAACAATCAGTCTAACTGTAACAACTGTTGAAGGTGAAACTTTATCTACACTCTTAAAAAGGACGGCTCCTCAAGAGGTTTTTTGGTAAAGAACATGGTTCTATATAGAACCATGAACACTCATAGAACCCTTTGCATGATTAAAGGGTTCTTTGCATCATGAAAGAGTTCTTCAGATCCGAGATTTATGCTCGACATTGTAATAATAGTAGAATCTTTTTGGATGTTTTATAAAACCATTTTCAAAAAGATTATATAATCGCTGCTGTCGGATCAAAACCTCCTCTCTCCAAAATAGTAACTTTACAGGAGACAGAAAAAACATACTTTACTTTTAATGTAGGTCAATGGAACCTGAATTTTTCCAAGTCATTTTGGGTCGTTTCTTTTAGTCCATTCTTCATAAAATTTACACACAATGTAAAGGGAAAACAGGCATTTTCACACTGTCAGAAACTGAAAAATGGCAAAAATACAAGATTTTGTCTCAACAGCAGCGATATAGAACCACATATTTCACATTTATGCACGTTTTCCATCAATCTAAAGAACAACTTTATGATGCAAATAACCCTTTAATCATACAAAGGGTTCTCTGTGTGTTCATGGTTCTATATACACCATTTTCTTTACTAAAAACCCTTGAAGAACCTTCTTTTTAAGAGGGTGGGGCAATAGAATTATGCTGGTTGGTAGAGGTGGGTAATCCAGGTCCAAAGAGTAAAAACCCTCCCCAGGATTTTGTTCCAACTGCCTGAACAGCTTTGCTGCTGGTTTGAGCAAATTAGAGAAGTCAAGCAGTTGGAACAAAATCCTGGGGAGGGTTTTTACTCTTTGGACCTGGATTACCCACCTCTACTGGTTGGTACAGTGTAGCAGATAACACCACTGCTCTTCATGTGTAAGACTGGGGTTTGATTCCCCAGCAGGGCAAAGGGGAATTTGCACACTATCTCCAGTAATTTCACGTTTGTTTTGGTATTGTAGTTTTAATTAAAGGGAGTTTAATTCAAGGGAGTATGTTTGTGTTCTTATGTGTCTATGTACTATATTCTATCTATTATTGTCTTAAATTTAATAAAAATTGAGTACTCCCTTCAGATCAAATTCAATTGTTTTAAGATTAAAAATGCATATATGAAGATATAAGTAAGTGTAGATCTGTATGTATATATATATAGATATATATATAGATATATAGATATATATAGAAAGATATATATATACGTGTATATGCATACCTGTTCAAAATTATACGTCTGTATGTCAGAACAACAGACATTATGATCTTTACGAGGTTCCGTAGAACAGCTTAACTTTGTGACTTCAAAATGTATAGAATAATGCAGGCTTGATTTACTCTTCTTCTACAGTGAGAGTTTTTTCTTCATTCTTCTTCAGTTCTACAGCAGCACTATACAGTGTAATATACACTTACAGCCACTAGATGTCACTCATTTACACATATTTGCTCCACGTTTCTGAAGATCTGTGTGAATGTATAGTGCTCATCACTTACAAACATCTCATACAGCACTGCGTAACAACTATTCGAATCCATGTAGTAGCAGGCAGAGCGTAACAGCAGTGCACTGTGAAGAAACTGACATTAGAACCTGCACATTTCTGAGAGCTCCACCATGATCACAGAGCCAAACCTGCATGTGTTACGGGAGTAATGACACAGAGAGGAGAACCTGCGAGTACCGGGCTTAAACTGAATCAAAGGGATTTGATAAAAAGGCTGGAGTGATTATGAACCTTGGTGTAGAATTACATCAGGCCAGGATCAAACCTACAATCTTCTGCTTAACACGGAGCCACCAGGAGGCACAGATAGAGGATGGAATTGCACCTCTAGTGTTTTAAATGGAAAAATGGTGGGAAAAAGGGCAAATAAATGAGAGTCCAAAATGGCGTACTCAAAGAAAATGTTCTAGATTAAAACAAATCAGTAAGTGCGTTTACATGCACTTAATAATCCGATAACTGCAGAAAATCAGATTTTGTCAGTAATCCGATCAATGTGTTTACATGCACTTAAGTAATCAGGTAATGGGGAAACTCTGGGTCTACATGAATCAGATAGTAATCAGATTTCTGCTTTACAACCAGCCAGTAAAGAATAAGATGTGACCTAAACGTAATGCAAAACTAAAACTTCATGCTGCTGTTTTTTTTACACATTTCACCTGAAAATATGAACATACATCATTTAGAAGATGAAGAATATTTAAATCTTTCATTGTGTCAAGCATGTATTTGGTTTCAGCTCACTTAGTTCCAGTACCACCATCTGTTTTCGCACATGCTCAGACTGAGAAACCCGAAAGAAATCAGAGTAAGAGTTCACATGCACTGAGAAATCTGATTACTGAGCTAAAAACCAGCCTCTTTATCAGATTTCTGAATCAGATTTCTAGACCTTACTCTGATCTAAGAAATCAGAATGTTTGTTTTGTATTTGAATAATCAGAAAACTGCAGAAATCAGATTATTATTGGATCATTGACTGTACGTAAACACACTCAAGATAAGAGGATAATTAATTTTGAGTTTCTTTTCAACCTCCTAGGATTTTTGGGGCAGAGATTCTTCTCAGCCCTCTTTCTTTTTTTCTTTTACACAGGGAACTGTTTGCTTCTTTGATTTAGCTCCTATTCCCTTTTCTTTTTGGTATGGAGCTGTTTATGTTTCTTTTCTTTTCTCCTACAGTTTTAGTATCTTTTCTCTCTTTGATGTGAGGCCTTTTTCTGTGCGTTGATAACCATACCAGTCACCCCTCTACAAAGGTGCTACACTAAACTGCCGTTTGCCCTGGGCGTGCCTGGTTGGCGCTAATCAGCCTGAGGGTGTCTGGGAATTAGAGTTCCCTGGTACCTTGATGCTGTCGCCCTCTGCTGGTGGTTGGCAACCCTGGCTGATCCCTTACAGCATGTCTTTATAAAAGCAGGTCTGCATATCTTTATGAAGTGCAATATGTTTTTATGTCCACTAGGTGTCACTCTCTTAGACACAATATGAGACGTACGCCTGCATTTATTGCTATGTGTGAGAAATGTATCCTGCTTGAGAAGCTCACATGTTTAAGAAAGCACAAATATATTTTAGTGTTAATTGTGTCAGAGACTCCTGACCACTCATTTACTGACCACCAAGTGAAGAAGGTGCAGTAGTGAGGAATAAACATGTCCTTTCTCTACATCAGAGGGTTTATATTTCAACACAACACAAAAGCACCTAAATCAACTCACCTGTTGTTGGGTTTGCTTGGTCCGGCAAACTGTGCCAGACACTGGTCATCCAGGTCCAGAACTGAATACCCCTGTTCTATCTGTATGCATTTGCTACCTGAAGGTTGTTCTGTTTTTTCTATTTGGAATTAGGAGCATTTGAATGAGCAAATGGACACTGTAGTTAAGAAGGAACCTCAAAGTATTCACTGCAGTTCATTTTCTGATTTAAAAACAAAAGAAAAAACAACCTTTCAAAGTCATAGTGTGGTTGATGAGGAGACAGAGGGCCTGGCTGGGTGATTTGCTGATTCTTCATACCTGTTCCTCAGTCCCTCAATGCTTATTCAGGGTTGCTACTAAATTTTTAAAAATTAGATGTGAATATTACGTGTATTATATACATT